TTCCCCACTAATGGGCTTCAGTGCTAATTGCACTGCTATAGGTATATGTAAATGCATCTTTTCATTTAAGGCCATTTCAGTTAATGGCTTTATAATAACAGGGTGAAAGGATGCCAGGACCGGCACAATTCATTATTTTGCACAGGCTTGTGGGCCCAGCCTTAAAGCTGGAACAGAAGTAGCTTTTCATTCATCTGCCCCAATAGTCCTCTCCACCAGCCCCTTCATAGCACCGCTGTGTCATGCAAAGGGTTTATTAATGGGACAAGACAAGTAGGGGATAAGACTAGTATCATTCCTATGGCCAACAGATCATCAAAAATGTTCTTGAAGCAGCCTCCACCCCTTGCAACAGCAGAAGGCTGAAACTAAAGCAACATTATCTTAGGCAAAGATAGGGAACCTGTGGCCCTCCAGAGATTGTTGGACTCCAACTCCCATCAACTGCAGGCAGCATGGACAGTGGCCAGGGATGATTGGAGTTGTGGTCCAGCAACTTCTGGAAAGCCACAGAGGTCCCACCCCATACCACGCAACTGTCCCATTTTGAGTGGGACATCCAAGATTTACTGAAGCCACACTGGCATCTGATTGCAATCCCAGATGTCCCATTTTGGCTTCTTCCTCATCCTCTGCTATAGCCTCTGCCACCAACGCCACCACCAGTCATACTTCAGGAGTTGCCACCACACTTCCATAGGCACCAGGTTCTGGAAGTGATGCGCAGGAAGTACAGCGGAGGAGGAGGAAGTGGAGGCTGCAGCCATGGCAGAGGAGGAGGCAGAGGCCGTAGCAGCAGAGGGAGTGGGAGAGAGAGGGAGGGAAGGAGAGAGGGAGAGACCCACTGTTGGTGCTGAGATGCCCACCCAGGATGTCCCCATGCAGTTGCCATAGTGCGCTCACTCTAATAATAATAATAATAATAATAATAATAATAATAATAATAATAATTTATTTATATACCGCCCTCCCCAGCCGAAGCTGGGCTCAGAGTGACTAACAACAGTAAAATAATACAGCATTCTAAAATCAATTCATTATAAAATCAGTTCAAATCAAATTAATGGCAACCATTGGGCTAGAGTTCTGTGAGGATTACCAAAGGAGGGAGTCAGGCTGTGCCTTGGCCAAAGGCCTGGTGGAACAGCTCTGTCTTGCAGGCCCTGCGGAAAGATGTCAAATCCCGCAGGGCCCTAGTCTCTTGTGGCAGAGCATTCCACCAGATCGGAGCCACAGCCGAAAAAGCCCTGGCTCTGGTTGAGGCCAGCCTAACCTCCCTGTGGCCCGGTACCTCCAGGATGTTTTTTTTTAAAGACCGTAAGGTCCTCCGTGGGACATACCAGGAGAGGCGGTCCCGTAGGTATGAGGGTCCTAAGCTGTATAGGGCTTTAAAGGTTAAAACCAGCACCTTGAACCTGATCCTGTACTCCACCGGGAGCCAGTGCAGCTGGTATAGCACTGGGTGAATGTGGTCTCGCAGCGAGGACCCTGTAAGGAGTCTCACCGCGGCATTCTGCACCTGCTGGAGTTTCTGGGTCAGTCTCAAGGGCAGCCCCACATAGAGCGAGTTACAATAATCCAGTCTGGAGGTGACCGTCGCGTGGATCACAGTGGCTAGGTCAGGGCGAGAGAGGTAAGGAGCCAACTGCTTAGCTTGGCGGAGATGGAAAAATGCCGCCTTTGTTATAGCTGCAATCTGCGCCTCCATGGAAAGGGAGGTGTCGAAGATTACACTCAGGTTGCCATGGCATGTGCCAGTGAAGGTAAGGCAGTGGAGGTGGATGGGAAGTGGCAGGGAGTGATGGCAGGCAGACCAGGACATGGTGTGGGTCCCAATTTACCCTCCCAAGATGTTGGATGCCACCTCTGTCAGAGGGGCAAATCTTAATAGCAGCTGCATCTGTGTTCCAGTTGCCAGAGGCACTGAACATCAATACTAGTCTGAAAAAAACTGAAGGGATGCCTCTGGCAATACAATGCCATCTGGCAAGATTATGCCAACCTCACATGAACTCGTTTTAGATGTAGAAAGCGGGTGAAGAGTAGCCCATCAGAGTTGCAAAATCCCTTCAGTTCCTATGTATATTTATAATTTATTATTCGGTTAAAAACACATGTACTCTATTTAATACAACTAATACTGGTATGGATAAAATAAAGTAGAATTAAAAGGTGTGTAAGGTGGCACTGTGGGTTAAACCACAGAGCCTAGGACTTGCCAATCAGAAGGTCGGTGGTTCGAATCCCTGCGACGGGGAGAGCTCTCGTTGCTCGGTCCCTGCTCCTGCCAACCTAGCAGTTCGAAAGCACACCAAATTTCAAGTAGATAAATAGGTACCGCTCCGGCGGGAAGGTAAACGGCGTTTCCGTGCGCTGCTCTGGTTTGCCAGAAGCGGCTTAGTCATGCTGGCCACATGACCCGGAAGCTGTACGCCGGCTCCCTTGGCCAATAAAGCGAGATGAGCGCCGCAACCCCAGAGTCGGCCACGACTGGACCTAATGCTCTGGGGTCCCTTTACCTTTACCTTTAAGCAAAATTGAAGACTTAGGCTAGATCTAAACACATCAAAGAAGTGTTTCAATTAAACGTATTTTAAACTTTGTATGAGAAATCGGGTTGGCAAAAATAGAACTCCACCAGCACCATCTGTTGTCACAGTGTTAGAATGCATAAACAACGCACATAAAGTGCTTTTTCTTTGCCAATGTAGCTGAGTCTTTAGTAATTTAAAGGACAGATAAATGGTCTATGTAGGCCGAGTAGGTAAAAACGACTGACGCATTCTGTAGGCTGTCGTGCAAAATTTTGCTGTTTGTCCGCAATGGTTCTCTTTGAAGAGGTTGCTCCAGTTCACAAGTATGAGAAATTCAGTCAGAATTAGTCACTCATAAAGGTTTTTTGGGAACTATTCCTAAGCAGGACACTAGATCCATGTGCTACCTCCTGCTCACAATTCTTTTCTGGACAGAATTCAAGTGAATGGTGCCTTCTGAAGACACAACCTTTATTAAATATATGTCTCTGTGGAAATAGAGAATTGCAGTAGAGACAAAGACAGAAGAGGCCGTCTACACTACAAATCTGCCCCTAAAACACTGTGGAGGCGCTGGAAATGGCACGTGAGAATTAGTAACAGGCAATCCTGAACTACTAAAACACAATCATGAAGTAAAATATGAAGCAAAGTAACCTCTTAATGAAGTAAACAGGATCTACAGTACTTACATATGACAATGGGTTTGATGGCAATGGAAGCTACTGGCTCTCAAAGCCTCTCTGCATTTTTCATTAAAGTCCTTACAGGAGCCCAGCTGTTCTCATTTCTTTGCCTTTTGGTTCCCAGTTGCTTTTCTTGCCCCAGGCAAGCTGGCGTGGAGCAGGCACAACATCTAGTGAGACGGAGAGGCTTGTCAGGGCGGCAAGAGCTGGCACTGAAGTCCCTTTTCTGAGAAAACCTGAAGAGTCACCATATGGCGGCAACACACATGTTTGGTGCACTTGCAAGCAATTAAAAAGCTCGTCATGGTTGCATTAGTTGACATCTTTCCGGGGAAGGAGGCCCAGTATCACTGTAATAAGTGACCTTACCACTTGTAGATCCAGATTCCTCTGGGCCTACAAGTACAGTTTATCCCCTGGACGACTAAGCACATCCATTTATATAACCCAAATTAAGAGATCCTGATAAACTTAACACACATACACACCCTCCAGAACTGAGGAATGGTTATGAATGAAAACAATTATAAATACACCATAACAAGTTTTCACTCCAAAATCCAGTTTATTAGGGCGACAAAAAATGTCACAAAATAGCGGATAAGATTTTTGAGTTCTGTGATATTTTTGACATTGCCCAAATATGAAGTTGCAGGATGTTGGGGGCAGGTTTCTATTGACCAACATAACTGTATTTACATTTTATGTCGCTTAGAGATAGTTTAAAAATACATCATTATTGGGGGGTTTTTATTAACAACATATATAAGACCAGGGCTTTGGATAGTGGAGGTGACAGTACCCACTGGTAGAGAATAACAGCCCCCCCTCCTTTTTTGCTACCCATGGCAGCCATTTCATGCTAGCATCCACGTAGGGTTGCCATATTTCAAAAAGTGAAAATCTTTTTTTGCAAAATCTTCAAAAAATTTGAAGTTTTTGAGCTATTTTTAAGGAAATACGCCCAAAAAAGCAACACTTCCAGCATAGGTTGCCATTTTTAGCCTGGACACTATTTCCGACGGATGTATGGCAGCCCTACACCCACGGCACTTTTTATCAAAATACAAGTATTGTTCTAGCATCTCATCACTAAACCCAGTTACTTCTTAAGCTTCCAACACTTCCTCCTCCCAGCCTGCTCTCTCTTCTCCCTTTGACCACTCATGGTCATCCCACCAGCAACCCCCTGGCTCTGAGCCTCCCCCCCCCCCGCTAGTGCAACCAGTCAGTCCATGACACTCACTGACACACACAACTTTTGAGGGCCGGCACCCATATTAGGACCTCATCCTTAAAAACGTCTCATTGAAGCTTGGCTACAATGTCTTAACTATCTAGTTGAATTCAAAGGTACCTGACATTCTCTGCGTTTGGATCTGGGGCTGTAAGATTTGGGTAAACAATGACGTCAAGCCTGCCGTGTAGCTTTGACCTTAAGCTGAAGAACATGAAGATCTGTTTTGCAAAGTCTGAATGGTCACGCTTAAGGCACTGTGACACCTTTGTACAGGATGTTCTCAGTTACATCTTGGAGTTTAAGCAAGTCCCTCATGGAAAAGGGGGACACAAGATTGTTCACTGTACCACTTGTAAGAAGAAAGCTCGCGTCAACAGGCCAACAGAAGCAGCATTCATGACCCTCACAGTTGTTTGTTTTTTCAGTGAATCTCATTGTACAGTGGCAATAATTGCGCTCTTCAGATCATAAAACGTATTAGAAACTATGCTAAAGTCACACACACTGAATTACTATTTTTCTTTTCTTCTTTGTTCCCAGGACTACACACTCACTATGTATTTCCAGCAGTCCTGGAGGGATAAAAGACTATCATACTCTGGAATACCTTTGAATCTGACGTTAGATAACAGAGTGGCTGACTATCTCTGGGTACCAGATACATACTTCCTGAATGACAAGAAGTCCTTTGTTCATGGAGTTACTGTGAAAAATCGAATGATTCGGCTACATCCGGATGGAACTGTTCTTTACGGTTTGCGGTAGGTAATGCTGTATTTAAGCTTGCTGTGCAGTTACGTACTGGGGTGTAGCTCATCATAGGAACTGGAATACCTGATGACAGCTATCTCTAGGGGACCCTGGGGGCCCGAGAACCCTCAAAACTTTTTGTTCTGGGTGTTCTGCATCTGCACCGCAGGGCCTCCGACGCAACTTCTGGTGCCTCGCGAAGCACCAGAAGTTGAATCCGAGGCCTTGCGGTGCCACCAGAAGTCAGGTTCTGAGGCCACAGGGTGCATGACGTCATATCGGCTAGTGGGCAATGTTTACCTTTAACCTGTTCAGAAACTCCTCACAGACACATAGCCAAGCAGTTTTACTGGGCTCTTGGTAGTCCTAGCAAATTGTGATTTAAGGAATGGGTCAAGCGTCCTGCAAACTTACCGCTTAGAAAATCTGTTCAGGATGGTGACATTCAGTGGTTAGATCGTTGTGTAAGCAATGACAGGTGTCTGCAGTCATTTCAGCAGCAGCAAAATCTTATTCTGGATAGCAAATAGATGGAAGCTTGAAATGAAACTGAAGCCACCATAGTAAGAAGAAGAATTGCACTCTCATTAATTTTGCCCCACACTTCTTGCTTCCTCTATGAATGATTCAAGCAAAAAAAAAATGCTATTAAGTCTCTCTTGGGGAATGGTGGACCACACTGGTGTGCATAAATGGCTTTTCTCAGGGGAGCAGGGAAACTGGTGTTTCAGCAGCGAAAGAGAAAACAGGGCACTGGGGAAATGGCTGATAAGTTCCAGAATGTGGTTATTATTTGTTAAACAGAGCATGCGGAAAATGTGTCTTTCTAATTGCCTTCAATCTTCATTGCTGCAGTTCCTATCCATCAAACTGGTTAATGAAAAGCAGCTTGTAATCCGTTGTACACTTTGAGGGATATTTAGATGCTTTTTGGAAATATGCAGTGCTTTTTTCTTTCTTAAAAAAGGTGTTTAGGGGTACTCTCATTTTGACTCAAGAAAATCACCATTTTATAGTGCAAATTGGGAAAAATAAATAAAGTAAAGCTACAAAGATTCACAAAATGTTTAGGGGTATGCGTACCCCCAGAAAAAAAGCACTGGAAACATGTTAGTGTGCCTTTGCTGCCTTGCTGTAGCTGGACAGCCATCCAATTATTCCGATACGTGAGATGGGAAGCTCTTAAATTTTTGGCCATGACATTAAAATGGTATTGTTATCCTGGCACAGAAAGGGTTTGATAAATAAAAGTGTACAAAAATGTACTAGGAGGGAAAACATTTCATAGCTTCAAAGTTTACACCATAAGGCAACATAAGGCAAAGTATATGCAAAGTATCAGTTCAGCTGATCTAGTATATTGCCTTGTTGAAACACTTATCACAATGATATTTCAATACGATACAATGATTTATTGCACAGCCCTAGCCCACAGTTTTCCAACAGTCATCTCTGATTTTTGTGATCCAAGGACGATCTAAAAAGAGGGAAATAAATTCGGTATACCATCACAGCTTTCCTGGAGTGCATTTTGTGGGTAGTTTCTGGTTATGCTTCTGCGGTGCTGTGCATCACCACATCTCCTAGTTCTCTGTTGTTTCTGACAGCTGAAAGGAAAGGATCTGGGTTCATTTGTGCATTTAAAAAATAATAATAATAACCCCAATTTCGCACTAACAACTCCTTTGAATTTTGACTGCTGCACCTGAATCCCCCTGCCTGTAGGGGAAAAGAAAAATCAGGCAGAGCTTATTCACACTGGATCCATGCTGCTAGATTTCTCTTGATATATATTAGTGTTGTCACCAGTATGTCAGGTAATTGCATGCAAATTGGAAATCCAATGTAAGGTACAGCTTTAATTACTGCCCCTTTCATCTTTATTTCTGCAAGTCGGCAATAGATTTCTCCCCCCCCCCCCCAACAATGCTTTTAATGAATTCTAGAGCCACAATCCTTAAGCCACTGACTCTGGAGGGAGAGGAGGAAAAATCCACTGCAGTAAATGGGTCTTCTCCAAAGTAAGGAATCTAAGAAGAGCAAACTGAGCCGAAGGAAAACATTTGCTATTCATATAACAAATCCATATCAACCAACAATCAAAGGTGACAAATCGGTGATACACCTTGATGCTAAATGTCAGAATGAATATAATGGGAAACAGGGATTGTTCTGATGTTCACATACAGCCAATCAATATAGCCTCTTGGAGCCTTTCTCGGTGATATGTAAAAATAGGTTACTTTTGCTTACAGAATTTTATTGCGAGCACACGCACTGATCCCCATCTGTGGAGCCTACCCCCCCCCCAAATCTAATGAGACAAGAGACCAAAGTATGGGTTCAAATTGGCCACAACTTTATTGAACTTGAGAATGTGGGAAACTTGGCATAGACCTTGGCATGTAACCCTCTCTTTTCCTAAAAAAAGTTTTTATTAACAATTTCAACATAACAAATTATCAAAATATATCATATTCATTACTTTTCCCCTTCCCCCCTTCAAACCCTCCCTCCCCCCCCCCGAGACTTCCCTCAGCTCCTCTCTCTGATTTCTCAGCACATATTATTCTCTGCATGTTATAAAACCATACATATCCTTACATTATCTATCTTCCATGTTCTCAACCAATAAATTTGTGTATGTTTATTCAAAACCTGCCAAGGAGTCCAATTCATTTTGTTATATTTTTAAATAAATTGTAAAAAGCTCCCATTCTTCCTTAAAGTCACAGTTGTCCTTCTCCCGCAATTTGTATGTCAATTTCGCCAACTCTGCGTAAGTCATCAATTTTTCTTGCCACTGTTCTTTCGTTGGGATTTCTGCATTCTTCCATCCTTGTGCTATCAAGACTCTTGCTGCTGTTATAGCATACATAAATAAGTTCTTTGTTTTTCTTGACAGATCTTGTCCTACAATCCCTAACAGAAATGCTTCTGGGTTTTTTTACAAATGTCATTTTAAACATTTTTTTTAACTCATTATATATTTAACTTCTCTACATTCCCACCACATATGATAAAAAGTCCCTTCTTTTTCTTTACATTTCCAACATGTGTTTGACCCGGTTTTGTACATTTTTGCTATCTGTACTGATGTAATATACCATCTTTACATAATTTTCATATAATTTTCTTTCAAAAGAGAACAAGGGCATGTAACCCTCTCAGTCCGACTGGGACTGAGGATGTACAGGGCAATGAGGTGCAGTGGGAGGGGACTGCAAAGCACGAACTTACACAGCGTGCCCTCCCACTTTACCTCAGCCGAGAGTTTGACCTACATGCCGCCGCTCTAGGGCCAGGGACTCCCACAATCAACCCTTTAACGGGCCCTGCAGCCACCGCTGCGTGGGGTGTGTGTGCAAGAAATGCTTCCCCCACACACACTCGAAGATAGACTAAAAGATACCTTGCCAAGGCCTAAAAACCGCCAAAGTTGTGACAAAATGCTATAGGGAAGGCGAAACCTGCCAATGCAGGGGAAATTCCTTCCCAGTTCTGAACCATCTTACGACCATAGCAGCGCCCGCTGACCTGGAACGCAAAATATTACACTGCAAGAAAATATTATTAATTTGGGAGGGTTGGGTGGGTGAACCTGGAAGAGGAGGAAACAAAGTGAGGCTTGGTCGAAGGGGTCAGTCTCTTTTCCCTTGGCCCTCACCCCACCCCCAGCTGGCCGTCCATTGTCCTCCCAGGCCGGGGGCGGGACGATGGCCACCCTATCACAGGTGGGAGGCATCCGACCAGGTAAGCTCGCTTGGTGTCGCAAACCCCACCCACCTGTCGGGAAGGGAGGGAGGAAATTGCCACCCAACACCAGCGGCATTATAAACCTCCACCCTTATTGGGCGGCAGGTTAGCATTACTAATCTTCCATGTTTTTACTCGTCCACCATTGTATAAAAGGTAAAGGGACCCCTGACCATTAGGTCCAGTCGTGGCTGACTCTGGGGTTGCGGCGCTCATCTCGCTTTACAGGCCCAGGGAGCCGGCGTACAGCTTCCGGGTCATGTGGCCAGCATGACTAAGCCGCTTCTGGCGAACCAGAGCAGCGCACGGAAACGCCGTTTACCTTCCTGCCGGAGAGGTACCTTTTTATCTACTTGTACTTTGACGTGCTTTCGAACTGCTAGGTTGGCAGGAGCAGGGACCGAGCAACTGGAGCTCACCCCGTCGCGGGGATTCGAACCGCCAATCTTCTGATCGGCAAGTCCTAGGCTCTGTGGTTTAACCCACAGCGCCACCTGCGTCCACCTAGTATAGTATAGTATAGTATAGTATAGTATAGTATAGTATAGTATAAAATAGGAACCGGGGAGAGTCAGGAGGTAAACCAGACATCAACACAATAAGCTGTCGGCGCTGTCAGAGCACTTGTTGCCTATTTCAGAAGGGCAGGAGGGTCCTTAAGAAACTTGCAGTGCCCCTCAACCACTGAAACAGTCTCCCCATCACTGAGAACATGACACACACTTCCTCTCTTCTGCCATCTTTAACCCCCCGCTCCAACCCTTCTGATCCCTAGAACATTGACAGAGAGCAGGGAGTATATGGACTAAAGGTGCTTGAAGAATTTGGTTCCTGTGAATTCTGATGCAAAAATGGACCTGATCTGCACCTCCCAGACTTCTGTGTGGCCTCTGAAAGTAATTATCCTTCAGCCTTGTTTGGGGAGGAACACACACAGGTGTGCATTGTGTTCTCTCAACAGGCCGACACCTCGTAACGTAAATACTTCTCTCCTTTTTGTAAATGTGGGCCAGTTTTTAGGATTCCAAAAAAGTCCACCCATAAATGAGGCAAAACAGAGTTGTTGTCTTTTGCAGTGGAAATGAAACCAGCTCGGGACAGTTATATAGGGATCCATCCATCCCAAATTAGGAATCATGCAGGATCTTACAACCACAATGCCTTGGCCTGTTCTGACACACACGGATTGGGGCCAATGTTATATACCCTCTTAAAAATGCTCTCGCACAGATCCACAAAAGGGCTACACCTTTTG